CCTGCCGCTTACAAATCTCTACCAAGTCCACCATTGCTTTGATATTATCTTTTGTTTTCAATCTGATATCCATCACAGTATAAAAGATATTATCAAAACAATTTTTTCAACATGTATTATATCAAGATTATGCCTAATCAAAAGCATTTTTCAATACAGAAAACTCCGAAAATATGCTCTATTTAGTCTAATTATGGTATATCCTGTATCCTAGTAATTTAGATCGACTATGCTCAATTACTTTGGAAAGAGAGCAAACTTATATCCCACTATTGTTCACCAGATAAATTTAGGTGGCGGCTCATCAGTCTCAACCTTATTCTTTATAAAATCTCTTTTTTCTCCTAAATACATGATCACACGGCAAAAATTGACGATGACAGTCAAACCATATAATTCTTATCACTGTACTTTAAAGTAAAAGCCTTTATTTTCTCCATACAATAAGAGCAAGCCAATTTACCAGCATGTCATCATCTACTTAAACAAACATTTCATATGTAGAAAAGCTATTGATTGTCCAAATTATAGCTACACGTAACATAAAATTTTGTTGTTGTGTACAAATATCATATGCTAAAACACCTACATACCAACAACAACTTCAATTAATCAACCAAAGGCTACAAATAAATATTAATTAAGCTCTTGCGATTTTTCGGACCAGGTATAATACATGTTAAAAAACATGTAAGGTTTTGTCATAGACATTTTTAGTACAAGGTTATAAGAAGTGACAATTACAGACTAACAACAATATGACTTGGACGACTGACTAAATGGAGTAAAACTATCAGAACATAATTCAAGCTTCATATTCCAAGACTCAATTACAAGTCAAGATATACTCTATTAAAGTACTTCCATGCTTCCCCATCTAATGGATGGCTTAAAACACCCTAAGGTCGTCTATTTTCATAATACCATCTCATATGAGGTAAAGAACTCATTAATGCATATAACCTTTGTAATCTTAGAATAAGTGGCAAATAATGTATCGACTTTACTGCCACATTTTTTAAATTTTCCCTTCCTACTCTACATGGTCGATATCTTGGCTTTCTGGCAAAATTTACATGAAAGTTCATCAATGTCATCTTTGTAATACAACATATAACCATTCTCACAACAATCAATTTTCATAACCTGCAACCCCAATTTTGACGCCAATTTTTCTAGTCTCGTAATAAGAATGAAGTATGTGTGAATATCCTCCTATGATTCATCTCACACATAAACTCAACATTGAATCGACACACTGATGCACGACATCTAATCAGACTTGATGCTCATTATTCTAGCTGCAACAGATAATTCAGAATGATAAGACCCTTGCCACAATGGTCTATTTGATGCATTCAATAAGTCAAAAAACTTTGAGCATCAACATTTAGGAGCATCCTCTATTCTCTGCTCAAAATGAGCATAGTACTCAGATCTACTAAAATGATATATCATCTCCTGATATTTATTTAGATTTCTCAAGTTGATTAGCTGAAGAACCACTAACATTATAAACTCTACTTACTCTAACATTGGGCTCCTCTCCATGATAAGTCCAATATCAACAACCTTCCATAAATCCTTTTGACAAAAATGAATCTTGATTATATTAGGCTCTAAATATTTTAAATATTTACATTTATAACAGGGACACCTAAGCAACATTTCTCTTATGAATTCTAGTTGTTGGCAAATATAGGAAAGGAACTCATCAACACCATTCACAAATTCCGGTTTCAATCCCCTTTTACCTGCATGGAGCCTATTATACATCCACCGACGATATTCTAGAATTTCCATATCTATGAACAATCAACAAAAAATGTGTTTTATTTATTATAACATTTAAAATTTTATTATCATTAAATTAATTACATAGCTACTTCTTAAATACACACACAATTCCAAAATTTTCTTTTATCACTATGATTAATCTGATTTTATGTGATTTACGTCAAAATTCTTTATATAATTACTTTGGTTTATGAAACAATTGAATATTTACTTATATTATTAATATTCCAATTAATATTTGGTTTGTTTATATTAATTTTTTTAAAAAAATCTAATATATTTTCAATTTAATTCATTATTATTATTATTATTAGAACTTTACTTTTTCATGTTGGATAAAAAATATTCATTTCTTGAATTAATCCTTAGAATTAATGTTGAATTAATATTCAAAACTTGAATTAATCTTGAATTAATATTCATTTCAACAAATTAAATTATTTGGAATTAATTTGATTTTATGTGATTTACGTCAAAATTTCTTTAATATACTTATCTTGATTTATGATATGATTGAATATTTATGATATATTATTAATATTCCAATCAAGATTTGGTTTGGTTTAATTTATCACTTTAAAAAAAAAATAATATATTTTTTAATTTAATTCATTATCATCATCATCATCATTAGAACTTTACATTTTCATGTTGGGTAAAAAAAATTTATTTCTTTAATTAATATTTATAATTAATATTGAATTAATATTCATTACTTGAATTAATCTTGAATTAATATCCACTTCAACAAATTAAATTAATTTTGGAATTAATTTTTATTAGATTTTGAATTTTAAATCATTAAATTAGTAGTATATAATATTTTGTCATTAAATATATCGATAATTAGACACCCCCCATTTTTTAGAAGGAAAGCTTTTAGAGCTCTCAGAAACTAATCCCACTCCACAAGAAAAATTTAGGGAAGATAAAGAATTTATGAAGATATAGAATTTTCTAGATTTTCAATGTTTTCTGTTTCCAGAAATGCAGAAAATGCAAACTGATCACAGAAAACAGAATATAAATCCAAATAGGCCTGCTGAGAAGCTCTTAGAATAGTCAGCACTAAATGTAGCTAACTTAATAGCAAAATGGAGCTTACCAGGAGCTATATACGGTAAGAACCTGCTACTGTATTTGAAACTCTAGAACATTCTGAAGCACTAACAAGCTTTGCTAGCCCAAAATCTGCCAGAAATGCTTCAAACTGTGGTCCCACCAAGATGTTATTGGCCTTGATATCACAGTGAACAATGGTAGGAAAGCAGTCATGGTGAAGATAAGCCAAGCCACGGGTAGCTCCCAATACAATCTTATACCTTGCATCCCAGTCCAGGAACATCCTTTCTCATGGGAGTCCTCCTAAACTTCCATTATTGATATAATCAAACAAGAGCAATCTAGTCTTCCCGTTACTACAACACCCAAAAGCCTCACAATATTTTTGTGCCTGATTGATCAAGTGTTGTAACTTCTGCAGTGAACAAGTCTCGTTCTGGAATCTCACCTTGAGTTCTGATAGGCCACAGCTTCTTCACCGCAATAACCTGGCATGATGGGGTCTCAACGCGGTAGACCACTCCTTGAGCAACCCTTTCCAATAATGTTACAGTCTAGAAGCTGTGTCAAAATATCTTCCACGGAAAAGTTTAGTTTTTGGAATGGGGTCATTTCCCACTCTAAACCATACTCTTCATCGGTATTACTTCCTTGTTTACTTCCCTGAGCTTTATCAGTGAAACTACTCCAATAGTTACCATTATTATAGCTACAGTGCTATTAGAACAATTAAAACAACGAGATTCTTTGGGGATTTCTTCTCCTGTTGACACTGGCTCCTGTCAATGCAAAGCTTTGGATTACCAAGGAAGTCGCTGGCTGGGAGATCTTGAAAGAACTTAGTATCAGGAAGAAAACCCGAAAAGCTGTTGCATGAAACATTCAAAGAAGCTAGTAGTTGTCTAGATTGGCTAGTACTTCTAGGCTTCCTTTAGGCTATTGTGAGAAAGGTCTAAATTTGCTATAGCTTTGAAAAGTTTGAAAAGCTTTCTGGGATGGGTCCTTTCAAAACATTCCAACTCAAGTTCAATAAGATGTCTAGTCCTTGCAACTGACCAATCTCATCAGGAATTGAGCCACTGATTCTGTTGTTGCTAATGTCTAGAAGCTGCAAGTCCTTACATAAACCTAGTGATTTAGGAATTGTACCAGTAATGCAGTTCCCACTCAATATGAGTTTGTTCAGCGATTTGAGATCGCCAAATTTTCTGAGGCATGGTGCCTGTGATTCTGTTCATGGAGAGGTTTGAAACATTGAGTTTTACAAGAAATTGGAATTATTAGAAATATATAATTAAAAAAAGAGAGAGAAATATAAAATTATATAAATATTATATAATGTATATTTGGAATGGAATCCTTCTAAAATTGAAGAAATTTGGAAAGAAAAGAGATTAATCTTCACTTAAAATTTTATAATATTCAAATAATTGAAAGACCATCATATTTTGCAATTATCTAAACAAGAAACAAAAAATGAAAAATATTTTATTTAATTTTTTATTCATTAAAATAAAAGAACCCACCTTGCTTTTTTTTCTTCCCCAATTTTAAGTTCCTAGCCGTGTAGAATCTGATCTGAACTCCAAACGTTTGAAGAATTTTTACAGCTAATACTAAGGGGAAATATCATTTAAATAAAAGCTCAGATTTTGACTAAGAGCTTTAGCTTAAATAGGGATTTAAGCTTCATTGGAGGCAAGTTATAACTTTTCGTGTCAACTTTTTTTTTTAAAAAAAAAACCCAGATTTCTTTTATATTACTAGTTGACCCCAACTTTTAAATAGATTAATGCTTTTCTTTTACCATTTTTTCGATTTAGAAATAATATACACAGATATTCTTTCAAAAAAGCCTAATGAAACCCAACATCCCATCTCTTGCTTGCAAGGGTAGCCAACTCTTGCGGATGGAGGTTTGCTTTCTTCTTCGAGTTCTCCCACCACGCATTCTTGACAGTCACCTAATTTGAGTTAAACCAAAGCAAGTACATTAACTTCCACGAAGGGATGTTTCTCGAATAAGCTAAAGCAACAACATTAGAATAAGCAAGAGGGAGTAGAGAGAGAGAGAGAAGATGGGGGAGATGGGGACTATATTATTGATCTTTTTGAGTTGGGTGTGAGGGAAGGGAAGGTTCATGCATGGGGAAAGAAAGGCGATTGTCTCCCATGGGTGAGGTAATGTATCAAATTGGAAGGCGACTGCTTGACATGGACAATGTTTTAGCACACATTTCAAAGACATAACAACAATATTATTGCAGAAAGGCATTGTGGCATCTACCTCTCTTTTTGGTGCCAACTTGTACTTTTCGTTTGTTTGGATGGTTGTAAAAGTTCGAACTCATATAAAAAAAACACACACACACTAACCAGAAACCCACCTTTTTTATATTTTCTTTAATTGCAGTCCATACATCAGCCCATGATGATAATTTAAACTTTAGCAAAAGGGGAAAACCTCATTGTTGACCTTAAGTTTAATTTAAATCTTACTTTAGTCCCTTGTATTTAAAAATTGACATTATCATCCTTAGTTAATAATTTAAATTCCATATTATTTTCTCAAGTCACTTTTCTAACACATCTAGAAAAAGGTCTAGTGCGCCTCACTAGCAAAATTTTGTAAAAGTATTTTTCTCATATAAAAAATAGAAAATTAGAGGTCAAAAAAGGTTTACCATGGATGTTTTTTGACCTCCTCCTCTTCTCCTAAAAATGGATAGCATCCTAGTTCTCCCTCCATTATCCCAGACATGCTAAAGAACTACAAAAACCTTGATTCATTCCCTTCCTTGTTCATCCCTCACTCAAAATTGTTTTTACAATGTGCAAGAATCGACGTGATTAACCCTATTTCGAGCAAGCAATCAATAGTGGCTAGGTATAAAAGCCCCCCAACTAGCAATTGACGCTATTGAGGGCGTTGACAAACCATTTCTTGGATTAGGTATCAGCAAACAAAGGCCAATGGAAATGGCAATGTCAAGCTTGGCAAGGAAGAGGAACAAGTGATGGAAGGCGAGGGAGTTTGAGGGAGAGAGACATAGTAAGTGTAGTCGTGTTCTTCGATCACGTTCATGAGGTCTTTGTCGATGGAGACGAAAATGAGAGTCGAGGTCCTTATTCAAGAGTTTTTTTGTAGTTCTTCAGCAAGCTTGCAGTGATGGAGGGAAAACTAGGATACTATTTATTTGAGTTGAGGAATAGTAGATCGAAAAACACCAATAGCAAGTTTCTCTCATTCTTTGATTATTATATTTTTTTATTTACACATATATATGACTTTATAAAAGCATACAAGTGAGTTTTTCCTAACTAGAAATAGTCTGAAAATGACTCGAGGAATTAAAGTGAAACTTTTGTTAAATATTTGGGACAATGACGTTAGTTTTTATACATGGGGGCTAAAATGAAATTTAAATTAAGCTTGGGGAGGAACAAAGAATTTTCTCTAACAAAAGTTTTAAGCAATAGAAGGCCTAGTTTCACTAGCACATCAGCTTGACACCTTTACATTACAATTATATCGCTAAGTTTACATGTCCTTTTTTGCCTCCCAAGCTGTCAATTCAATATAATCTCTCTCTTTAACCCAGGCAATCTATACGAAGTATATGAAAAGGATTCAAGATTCGGATCCTGTTTTTTTCGGTGGTCCTGGCTAAAAACAAGGGCGTCTAGTCTTAGCTTTATCCCACTTGTCCGTGACAAAGATAACAAAATAGAAAAAAAATTCAGGTGACTGAATTTAAGCTATACAACTAGCTGAGATAGAACAAGTAGCAGAGCACATGCCTCCTCATCATGTCAAGCAATGCCGCCATCACAATATTCTCTTTTCTTCCTCAACATCTCTCTCATCTCTGCTTTGAACCAAGAAGCCTCTCTCTCCTCTCATGGCTCTCCACATTCAACAATTCGGCTTTCTTCTCATGGAATGCCACTCACCAAGACCCATGTAACTAGGCCTTCATCAAATGCAACAAAAAATAACTTTGTCTCAGAAATCACCATTCAATTCGTCAACCTTACCGGAGAAATCCGCCTTCAATTGGAAACTTTTCATCACTGAACAAATTAGACCTTAGCTTCAATGCTCTCAAAGGAACAATACCCCCAGAAATCGAAACTTGAAGTACTATCACTTAGCTCCAATACTTTGGAAGGAGAAATCCCAACTGAAATCTTAACTGCTCGAGGCTTTGAAAGCTTGAATTGTTCGACAACCATTTTTCAAGTAGAATTCCAGCAGAAATAGGCCAGCAGTTATGGGCTCTGTAGATCTTTCGTGTAGGTGGGAACCCGGGAATCCATGTAGAGATTCCAATGCAGATATCAAACTGCAGAGAACTAGGGTTTCTGGGTCTTGCAGATACTGGGATTTCGGGCCAAATTCCGTACAGTTTGGGAGAGTTGCAGAATCTCAAGACTCTATCAGTTTACACAGCAAATCTCACAGGAGAGATTCCTCCTGAAATTGGCAATTGTTCTGCCTGGAGGACTTATTTGTTTATGGAAATCAAATTTCTGGTGAGATTCCCAGTGAGCTAAGCATGTTGAAGAATCTCAAAAGGGTGTTTACTGTGGCAGAACAAACTTAGTGGGTACATTCTAGGGTCTCTTGGCAACTGTTCAAGCTTGACAGGGATTGATTTTCGGTGATGAATTCTCTGATGGGTGAAATTCCTGCATCTCTGGCAAGTTTAGCTGGATTGGAGGAGCTCCTTTTGTCCAAAAATAACATTTCAGGCAAAATTCCAACTTAAAACAGCTTGAGTTGGACAACAACAGACTCACTGGATATTATTCCACCAGCTATAGGAGAGCTTGGGGAGCTTTCTTTATTCTTCGCTTGGCAGAATCAGCTCAATGGGATCATCCCGTACGAGCTGGCTGAGTGTGAGAAGCTTCAGGAGATTGACCTCTCACACAATTTTCTTACTGGATCAGTTCCAAGGGCCCTTTTCAACCTCAAGAACTTGACCAAATTACTGTTGATATCAAATGAACTCTCTAAAGGACTTCCAGCTGCTATTGGCAATTGCACCAGATTGACCCGGTTATGTTTGGGCTTAAACGTGTTATCTGGTCAAATCCCACCAGAAATCGGGCTTTTACAAAGCCTGAGTTTTCTTGAGTTGTCCAAAATCAGTTCACTGGAGAAATCCCTTCCGAGATTGGCGACTATGCTCAGCTAGAAATTGTTATTTGAATGCTAATAAGCTCCAAGGCAAGATCCCTACCTCCTTCCAATTTCTTGTAAAACTCAATGTTTTAGACCTCTCCATGAACAGAATCACAGGCACCATGCCTCAGAAATTTGGCGATCTCAAATCGCTGAACAAACTCATATTGAGTGGGAACTACATTACTAGTACAATTCCTAAATCACTAGGTTTATGTAAGGACTTGCAGCTTCTAGACATCAGCAACAACAGAATCAATGCTCAATTCCTGATGAGATTGGTCAGTTGCAAGGACTAGACATCTTATTGAACTTGAGTTGGAATGTTTTGAAAGGACCCATCCCAGAAAGCTTTTCAAACTTTTCAAAGCTAGCAAATTTAGACCTTTCTCACAACAACCTAACATGAAGCCTAGAAGTACTAGCCAATCTAGACAACCTAGCTTCTTTGAATGTTTCATGCACACAACTTCTCAGGTTTTCTTCCTGATACTAAGTTCTTTCAAGATCTCCCAGCCAGCTACTTCCTTGGTAATCCAAAGCTTTGCATTGACAGGAGCCAATGTCAAAAGGAGAAGAAATCCCCAAAGAATCTCGTTGTTCTAATTGTTCTAAACATGACTGTAGCTATAATAATGGTAACTATTGGAGTAGTTTCACTGATAAGAGCTCAAGGAAGTAAACAAGGACTGAATACCGATGAAGAGTAGGTTTAGAGTGGGAAATGACCCCATTCCAAAAACTAAACTTTTCCGTGGAAGATATTTTGACACAGCTTCTAAACTGTAACATTATTGGAAAGGGTTGCTCAGGAGTGGTCTACCGCATTGAGACCCCATCATGCCAGGTTATTGCAGTGAAGAAGTTGTGGCCTATCAGAACTCAAGGTGAGATTCCAGAACAAGACTTGTTCACTGCAGAAGTTACAACACTTGGATCAATCAGGCACAAAAATATTGTGAGGCTTCTGGGGTGTTGTAGTAACGGGAAGACTAGATTGCTCTTGTTTGATTATATCAGTAATGGAAGTTTAGGAGGACTGCTCCACAAGAAGAGGATATTCCTGGACTGGGATGCAAGGTATAAGATTGTATTGGGAGCTGCCCGTGGCTTGGCTTATCTTCACCATGACTGCTTTCCTCCCATTGTTCACTGTGATATCAAGGCCAATAACATCTTGGTGGGACCACAGTTTGAAGTATTTCTGGCAGATTTTGGGCTAGCAAAGCTTGACAGTGCTTCAGAATGTTCTAGAGTTTCAAATACAGTAGCAGGTTCTTACGGGTATATAGCTCCTGGTAAGCTCCATTTTGCTATTAAGTTAGCTACATTTAGTGCTGACTATTCCAAGAGCTTCTCAGCAGGCCTATTTGGATTTATATTCTGTTTTTAATCATCAGTTTGCATTTTCTGCATTTCTGGAAACAGAAAACACTGAAAATCTAGAAAATTCTATTATCTTCCCATAAATTTTTCTTGTGGAGTGGGATTAGTTTCTGAGAGCTCTGAAAGCTTTCCTTCTAAAATATGGGGGGTGTCTTGCAGGTTCTTACGGGTATATAGCTCGTGGTAAGCTTTTGAAATGTGTATAGATATTTTACAAACTATAGAGAATGTTTCTAGTCAACAATTTTTTAGAGCTATTAGAGAATTTAGTGCTAGTGAGATGGCCATTATTATGTTTTTACGGTTGACTGATAGGCGTAGGAGAGAATGGCTTGATACTCTTAGGGATTCTTAATTTATATTTGTTTAGTGTAAACATTCTTTAAATTGTGTAAATTTATTTTTTATTATTATCCTGGCTCCAAGCCTGGTTCACTATTTGTAATACAAGGTGGATTTCTTGCCTTCATATGAAAGGAGTCTAGGGCTGTTTTAACTCTGCAGAGGCTTAATTTGGCAAAGCTTTTAAAGAAAGGTGTAAGGGTGCCTGCTCTACCTCCAATTGCTAACTTCTCATATTTGACAAAGTCATACTCTAATGTGTTTGCTGTGTTCTCAAACACCTCAAATTGTCTGTCTTCACCAAGGTTTGCATTTATCAGCCCATATATTAATGTTTATAAGTTTTTTCTTCTCATGTATATGCTAAACTTCTTCTTCTTCTCTTTTTTTTTTTTTTTCTCTAATGAATTTTTTGTATCATTGTCTTTCATCAGTGCTTTTACATTTATATGTAACTTTATGAAGCTGGATAACAAATCATCATTGAGAAACTATCATAATTTTTAGGACTATATCTTCTTTCTTAGGTGAGGACAGGTTGTGTGCAACTCAAAGGATGCTCCATCCTAACCTGGGCATTTGGGTTGAATCATGGAAACAGCCTCTTTCAATGTAGAGGTAAGATTGCAACATCTACCCCTCAGATGGTGGAGTAGTAAAAGCTTCATGAAGTGCACTATCATTATATTCTAGTTAGATGGTTGGTGAAGATAGATGCTCTAGTTGATTCTATGCTTGGTTCAATCCACCAAAGATCTTGAGGTATGAAGCATATTATGCTTTAGTCTTCTTCCTAATGGTAAATTAAAGCAGTAAATAGAAAACACACTATCTGCTTCAAAGCAGTAATTTGAGATTTTCTTTGTTTTTGAAACCTTATCTTATTCTGATGACTCTCACCAGATGTGGTGATGCATAGCAAACTAGTTATAGAGAACATCTGAAACTGAAAGGAAAATACGAGTCCTTGCAACGCTACCAAAGTTATGTACCGGCCTTCAGTGGTTCTGTTTTCTGAAATTTGCTTTTCTTTTCTGGGTTCTGGTTTTTTCTAGTTGCCTAAGACATCTCACAAATTTATCGAAGTTTGCCTGCCAAAAAACTTCTTTCTATTGGTTCCAGCTTCTGTATCTAATTCTAAACCACCCTGCTGATACAGTAAAGGCAGGAATTTGAAAATCATCACCTGGATGAATCAAGTAAATTTGGTGAAAATTTGGTGTCAAGTAAATTTGAGACCAACCTCATCCCCAATTGCCATTATTGGGGGATTTTCCTCGCCATCTTGTACATAATTATCACTCTTGGTGCATGTTTCAACTAAAAATCTTAGTGTTTCCATTGGAGCAGCTGCTACTGAAGCGCATTGCTCTACAGCTTGTGATTCTTTGCTCACCTGTATTAATGTATAAACAATGAAACTACTGATGATAGAGCTTAGAAACTACTGAAACTACTCTTTGCTCACCTGTGATTCTTTGCTCATATGATAGAAATAATATTACAGGTCTTAAGCTTCCTCATGTTAGATATTAAAATTAAAGAAAGTGCCAATTGGTAGGTGAGGGTAATGCTAAGACACAGGTTGGATAAGATGCATATATGTTGGAATAGTCAACAAATAAAAGTTTATATGACTTGCTCAAAGTGACCTAGAGTATTATCACAAAGTGCCGTGTAGAGGTACTTTATCTTGTAATGCAAAATAGAAAGAAACCTTGTTGTATTTTGCTTGTTTAAATGTGAAAACACATTCATTGATTCTTGTTATGAGGTCTTCTTATGTTAATTCTATGAAATCTTCTAATAGTTTACATTGGATTTATAAGTTTTTGCCATATTTGATCTTAATGGAAATGATGTTTTGTTAGTATTTGTATATTAGCGCTCTTTCAATGTGATGTTAAATTGATTCATCCTTGTTACTTTCAGGTAGAAAGAAAAGCAGAGGACCTTGGTGGGTGCAGGAGAGAGATCAACGTGAGGTGATTGAAAATCCTATTTACTTGTTCTTGCCATAGTGGTGGACTCTACAGCAAATGTAATCACTCTAACCTATTATCAAGTTGTAGTTAAGCACTATTTGTGATGGTTAAAAATTGCATTAAGTTAAAAAAAAAAAAAAAAAAACTTCAATCCAAAAAAAAAAATTGCATTAAGTGTCTGAGAAGTGTTTGATAAATAAGTTAGAGATTTTCCATTCATTCTCTGTATTAGAAGGCAACTAGCAAAGTGTGTTTCTAGTGCGTCTAGAGTAGCAGCTATCTCTAGCTCTGGCAAACTGGAGCTGTTGAAGAGCTTGGGAAGCTGATTTGGCCATTGATTACATCAATACTGGAGAAGTTTGATGTTATTTCCAATACAGTTAGTGAGATCCTGAATTTGCCTTTGATTATCAAACTTGTAGTTGTGATATTGTTTTATCTTATCAAAGGGGACATTATCTTGTCAGAAATCAGATACTGTGTACGGGATTTTTTTGTTGTTAAAATGTTCAGTACTATATCATTTAAAAGATCAAGCTTGTGAAGAGAGGAGCAAAATATAGTCACTTGATACTTAACGTGCCTCCCTCACTTGTGATCAAACTATTTTACTTGCAAATACACCAACACATGCAAACTTTTGAGTGTAAGCATGTAAAACAAATTCTAGATAATTGCTATCAAATAATTGAGTGTAAGCATTCTGGAACAATGAGTTGGTCTCAACAAATTATCTGTAGGAAGTTACTATAATAACCCAAATTTTAAATAAATAATATAATAATAATTAATTAAATTAATAATCAGGGGCTTAATTGTGAAAATTAGAAATTTGAGGGCTTAATTTGGGAATATTAGAAGTTTGGGGGTTGATTTGGGAATTCTGGAAAGTATGGGATTTCAATGAAATTTGTCAGGGAATGAATTGAAGAAAAAACAAAATTGAGGACTAGATCTAAAGAAAATACAAATTTTGGTCTAAATCGGTGGCCTAAGCTTTTGACGCCGAATTCGCCGCAATGGTTGAAGTTTTCGGTGATTTGTTCACACCGCCATGTGCATATTTAAGAGAGGAATGAAAGCCCTCTCTCAGTTTTGGAATTTGGGTGAGTTTAGAGAGAGAAATTGAGAGTTTTCTACAAACGGGTTCGTCCGTGATTCGTGAGGAGATTTGGAAAAATTTTGATGATTTATTAGTTTTTGATCCGATTATTGGGCGTAGTTCGACTTGTTCTGCTCAGATCTACCAATTTCAGGTGTGGATTGATAACGTAAGTGAGTTTTTCTATTTTATTTCGATTTTTTATAATTTATTTTTGATTTTCAGAAGTTACAGACCCGGTTCTGCTGGGTGAACTAGGCGGGACCGGATGATCCGGGTCCCCTGTGCGGGCTGCAGCCCATCCGGGCCATTGGGCTCAGACAGGCCTGCCAGGTGGCCCGTGGCTTCTAGGCAGCCCACAGACTGGAAACCACAGGCCGGCCTCTATTCTTCTATTAAAAAAAAGAAATGATGCTGCAGGCGGCAACCCGAGCCGGCTCTGAGCAGAGCTAGATGGGAGCCGAGCTGAGTCGGGGGCGAGCCGGATGGGAGCTGAGCCGAGCCGAGGGCGAGCCGGTGACAAGCCAAGCCAAGCCGAGCCGACTCAGCTTAAAAAAAAAAAAAGAAAAGAAAAGTTGACTGAACCGGCCAGTGGCTTTGACTGGTCGGTTCAGTAGTCAAATGACCTCGAAATTGGGAAGTTGAACCGGTTCTAGAATTAGGGAGAAAAGACTTACTGAACCAAGTTGGTTCGGGGGTTCGGGGAGGTTCGATTAGACCGGAAATTAAGTGTTTTTAATTGAACCGACCCGGTTCAAGGAAAATTAATAATAAATTGGCCAGTTCAGCTTTATTTTGGCCCATTTTTGACTGGTTCATAGTGGTTCTTAGAGTTTTTGGGCCTTCCAAATCTGATTTTGAGGGTTTCGTGGCCAAACGAGTTTGGGATGAGATAGTTTTAAGCTAGTTTAAGCCGGTTTAAGGGTTTTTAGTGATTGGTTTATTATGGTTCAGGATTTTAAAGGATGGTTCACTATTGTTAAAGATTGTTGAGTGGAAATTAACTCTATTAGTGAAACACGTGAGTCTCGTTATGGGTTTTGGTGCCTTGGAATGCGTGCCAAGGGGTCCCGGGACTTCTCTATTGGCTTGATTGATTTTGTACTGTGAGTGATGATACATTCTCTATGCCTGTGTTTTATACGGTGATTTTGGATATTGATTGATTTATGTTTTTCTAAAATGTATTTTGATGTATATACAAATAGGATATGTGTTATATGATTTGGTATATGGTCAGTGAGCTATATTAGTATGCGATACTGGTTTGAGATTTTGAAATGTATATGTATGTATTGTTCGAATTGTATGTGGTAGTTATGTTTGGTATTGGGGTTTGGTGCCCTGATGGGCGACCCTGATGGGGAGTGATGTGAACCCGATTGGGTGATGGCCATCTGATGTGATATTGATTATGATTATGGCTATGATCCCTATGATTGAGGCTGGAATATTGTGATATGATATTTACACTCCCACATATGTATGATTTGATATTGAACTGCTCACTGTATTTATATGTGTTAAAATGGTTTGAAACTTGTGGTATGATATTTATCCCAACATGCATAGACTAGGTATCATCTGTACTCGCTGAGTTTCGCGACTCATCTTTTTATTATCATTCCAGATCAGGTTGACTGCTCGTATTCCAGTTGCGAGGATTTGTCTTGAGATTCGAAATTCGATCGATGTACGGGCACATTTATTTATGTTACTGTTTTGTACTCTAGAGACTCCTTTGTTATTCTCAAACAAGATTCTGGTTTGTATTTGAGGATTGAGTTTGTATGACATACTTGATATTACTCATATGATATGATGGTTTGAATCATGTGAGATGGTCTTGAGGCTGACTAGGGTCGGTGGGCCCTAGTGCCGGTCACAGGCCCGAGATCGGGGCGTGACAGAGTGGTATCAGAGCTA